ATCGTATCTTTTCCGTCCCTTTTGTTAAGTAGCCGGAGACGAATCGTGCGCCATGGTAACCACGTTTCTGTATTTCTGTACAATGGCAGATAAAAATGTTTCTACGTAACCGTAGGAAGCGTGTATAGAACCGCTGATTTTAGCTATCAGTCACAAGTATGATCTTGTATATTTCATCGAAACTCTTTCACTGAACAGGCGTGTGGATATGTAGCAATTTATTTTAATAGTTCAATACTGTCTGATGTAACGGCAACTGTATTCCTAAGGTACACGGATCATATCTCATCCGGCTTACCGATTATCCTCACTTTTGCTCTTAATGGGTTTCCACAGTTTGTCCAGGCGAATTCTGGGATATATATTAAAGTAAGCCACGGCTTCGTCCTTACAATCTCTTATTTACTCACCAATCATGATCATCTTACAAACTCCTGCAGTCTCGCACCTTTGGTAACATGGTCATAAATTACGAGTAATTTAATTTTCCTTAAGCTATTGTTATTAAGCACCAAGTATGTAAACTGTTAAGTAGAATCGTTGAATAAACTAAGTAACTGAATGCAGTAGAGCCCTTCTTGAGAAGCTAATAGTCGTTCAGTTGTTCAAGTAAATACCCGTTATTTGTGGACTCCGATAGTTCATTAATTCTTCACAAGAGCTCGACGCCAAACTATGTGATGAACCAGATAAATTCATTTAACCTCCTATGTCTTTAAAGCCCACTTTATTATTATTCCATCTCTGCCTAAGGTTGGCTGTGATACCTTCCTTTTATGTTTTCCGACCAAAATTTTATAAGAATTTCTCATGTACTTAAGAACCTCAAGGAATTATTTTTAGAATCATAAAATTACTTTTAAAATGATGTTACTTTGATCTGCATTTATCCGGTATAATGGGAACCACCGTTTCATTTCACATCGCTTGCCGTCTGAAGACATTTTTGTTGCTGGATGAACCCTTGTCTCTCTCGGGTACGACACTAACTTCCCCTTACTCTGAAGTTTTTATCAGCTTTGCTTTGCAATCTACTTACACTGCACTCAAATAACCGGCGTATCCACTTGTCAGGTTTCCTTTTAAGGAAACTCACAATATTACTTTCAGAGTGATCTTCGTAATATCGAAGTAGGCTCTACGCGGTTTAAACAAAAACACAAGCAGTACTCTGTTTTGCAATCCTTATTGGCCTAAATGTTCATTTATTTCAGATATGTATATTTTGTGCCACGGTGGTCTAGCGGTTAGAAGGCTGGCCTTGTAATCCTGGGGTCTCGGGTTCAATTCCCGGCGGTGCCCGAATTTATAACTTGTGTTGGGCAAGGCCGTGGTCTAGGCAACACGGAGTTTTCCTCCGGGTGCTTCCCCGGTTTCTCCGTGGCATCCCAACAATTACTCCATTCACACACAGAAGAAGGCAATGGCAAACCACTTCTGGATCATCTGCCAAGAACGTATATGAACAGGTCCTAGTCCGAGAAAAGGATGGACGGATCATGTTCATATGGACCTGTCGGCAGACAGAACACTACAAATAAAAAATGTATATTTTATTATAATGTCAATCACATTGTACAGAAGTATAACGTGTTTTACATATAAACACAGCCCCTCGGAAAATATCTCAAGTTAAAATAATAGAACTTAACACGTGTATTTTTAGCCACGTATCAATTCTTCCTAAATTAACCCCTTTTTTTTAAAGAATCTTGATAATCTTTTGAGAGTTACATTAGACTGATGCAATTCAAAAATAAACTGGCCCGGTAAATTTTATTGTAATATGCCGATACCAAATATAACCCAAATCTATTGTGTAGTTTCGATGATGAATTATGACGACGTGCAGACTCATATGCCGATGTCCTTTTGTCTTGGTTTTGAGTGCCTTTGAAAGAGCACGTCAGAAGCAGCACTGTGACACTGACGCCGATGGTCCGGAATTTCACTTCAGTTTGCCCTCTTATAATTTAAGGCCTGTAACTTTATACAATATTATTTTATAGATCTGTATAATACATAATATTCACTATTACATAGTAAACAATAATATAATATGAATTGTGTTTGTAATGTAACGTGATATAAATGTTTTTCACTCGTATTCCATTTCAAATTGGAAGTAGGTCTGCCCTCTTCAGTGTCGCATAACAGCTTTATATATCCATATGCCTCCATGTTACTTAATGTTTCCTTACAGAAGTAATTTTCGTTTCTTGTGCGGCAAAGGTGATAATTTTTTGGACTGCGAAGCATAAGACTAATTGATTACTGCAGTTAACATCAGGATTTCCTTTCTCCTTTGTCTGTCTTTCTTCCATTATGCCCCTTCAGAGACGTTGCTAACATTAATTTCTCTCTCGATTCTCTGACAAACAGTGAAAAAATGTTCTGTCACTGAAATTTATTATGTTTACCATGTGGTAATCTAGTTTACTAGAATCAATTTATTTCCACTTAATATATCGAGTATTTTAAACAATCCAAGTATCGTACGGCGAAAATCACCCCATGACGTTATCGGTTTGCTTCTGGTCCAGTCAGAGGGAAATGTAATTAGCACTGAAAGCAGTTGCAGTTATGATTATTTATTTATTTTTTTACGTTGTACAAATATGAAGTCAGGCACAAGATCGTTGAGGAATTTAAAGCGAATTAGATCCATTTGTAATAGATTACGATAAAGAGATCATCGATAAACTTTGCCTACTTTTTTGTAATTGAATTGTTGCCGCTGTACTGCAGGCACGCAAACCTGTCACGACAGCGTCAGATAACAGAACACATGCGGACGACTTCGTTTTCAATTATCAGGTTCGCTGTGCGTTAATTAGTTTCGAATTTGCTCGCTCGGCAAGCAATACGAACTCGCTTAGGCTTCTCTTGTGGCGTATTTATCGCCAGTCCTACCCACAACTCAGCGCGTAAATATGAGGT